TTAAACGTTTTCTTGTTTCCTGAAGCTCAGAGGTTTAAAAATTATTTCTGGACTGTTTTTTAAACAAAGCTGTAAAGCTGATGATGAACAGGAGGTTGGAGATGAAAGAGAATAAAAGAAGTCACTAAAGTTTCGGACCGAAAGCTTCGTTCACCATGGGCTCCCTCTCCTCGTCGTCGCTCTCTTCATCCACCAGAGGGCTGAAGGCGTACCTGTTCCACAGACACAACGCACTTTAACGGAAAACCAAAGAGTCGGAGCCGGCAGACGTCCGGACGGACACGTCACCTCTGGTTGTTGGCCGACGGCCGCCACAGGAACATGATGACCAACAAGATGAGGGAGAACAGGAAGCGCCAGAAGGCATCTTGTATCCACACTTCTCTCCAGTCCTGAATCACAGAAATCACAAAACACAAAATATTCAGATGTTTTCAGGAAACGTGAATAAACAAACGTGGTGGCGTCAAACTGAACGTTTAACAGCCGATAAAAGTGAACTGATGAAAAGTCAAACCCAACAGAAGCTCAGGTCGGTTTGTTCTCACAGGTAAGAACGACATTAAAGGTGAGGGAGGAGGAGGAGCTCCTGCAGGTACTTACAGACCGACACTCGGACATCGTGAAGGTCTTCGTGGTCCAGATGATGAAAACGACCGATGCTTTGAATGAAACCACAACAATCACAGATCGGTTTAAAACTCGTTCCGAGAGCATCTCAAACTGACGAAGACCTTTACAGACCTATGACGGCGAAGATGAGCGTGTTGGTGAAGTGTCTGAAGAGCGACAGCTTCACCACGTTCCTCCTCAGCTTCAGCAGCTTCATGGTCTGGGCCAGACTCACAAAGATGTGCACACGTGGTCAAGGAAAAACTGCAGGTCTGATCACTTTGTATCGTTCACACACAAACCCCAACACAATAAACACCATCCGTCCACCTTTAGACCAGTGACATTTTAAGGTTTCTACTGAGCACAAACCAGATGAAGAGCAAGAAAAACAGGAAGAGGAGAGAAAGTTTCTTTAAAACCGGGGAGTACAAAGGGAAAAGGTGCAGTGATGGATATCCACCAGCAGAGGGTCGAATCGAGCAGAGCCAGAGGAATAGCAGCAAGAAGAACATCATCTTCAGCCTGAAGACAGAGGAGGAGGAAGAGGAGGAAGAGGAGTGAGACGTGGGGGCAGAAGAGAAGGGACAGTTTGCACACGGGGAGGAGAAATAAACAGCTGACACTCAGGCAGCAGCCCAGTTTAACCAGCAGCAGACAGGAAACTGCAGGGGTCAAAGGTCACTTAAAGGCAACACCATGCTTTACAATGTTTAGTATTTGAGATAGTGAGCACTTAAAATGTCTGGACAGGTCACCAGAATAAGACACGTCCTCCCACCAGAATAAGACCCGCCCTCACATTAGAATAAGACACGCCCTCCCACCAGAATAAGACCCGCCCTCACATTAGAATAAGACCCGCCCTCCCACCAGAATAAGACACGCCCTCTC